CATAATAAGTTTTATTTAAATAATACTTCTGGAACTTGCAGCTCTCATGTAGAAATTGTAGTTAATATATCAATTTGATTTACCTCAGTGGGTTTTAAGGTTTGACCTATTTTAAATTTGTCTAGTGCATGCAGTTTGTTACATACTTTCTCACCCTAAATGTCTTCAGGGGACTTTCCCTCCATGAAATAGTCCAAGGGATCTTTATAGTCTGTAAAGAGAGCAGGGCTGTGGCAGTAGGGCTTATAGTAATTTGGATAAATGTCACTTTTCGTTACAGACCATCGGATCTCTTGTAGGCCTGTTTACTTCATGATTTTGACATGGACTACTAAACCTATCTTTAGTTCACAATCACTTTATTATACATCAGAATGTGTTTTCAAGTAGAAATGAAAGTGCTCTGCAACTGTAAATGGACGAAGTGTCCAAAGATGTTCTCCTCATTGATTTTTGAAAAGCAAACAATCTTCATACTGGTTAAACTTTGTTTTTCCAGAGAGAATCTTTGAGGACCATGAGAACCTGGTTGAGAACTTGTTGAACTGGACCAGGGACAGCACCAACAGACTGATGTTCATCGAACGCATTGAGAAATATGCACTTTTCAAGAACCCTCAGGTAATGCTACATATAATACTAAAGGTAATGCTAGTATATATACAGGTTATACTAGTAATATAAAATCTGTCAGTAGTGCCCAGGTCTGTTGTAGCAGCAAAAAATGGTTCCATACAACTTCTGCACTACGTTTCACATACAAGTCTTCTGTAGGCTACAATAGCATTTTTAGATATTGTGTACACTATTATTAAAAAGTTTGGAGTTGGTCATTTTTAAAAATGTTTTTGAAAAGTAGTATCTTATGCTCACCAAGGCTGCATTTATTTAAGCAAAAATACATATATGAATGTAACATTGAAATGCAAGATTTTCAGTGAATAATGCTTTAATTTTCAGTATTACAGCATTTACGTTTTTGAGTGAACTGTCTTTTATTGCCCATGTAATGACTAGATGTGATGTGCAGTTTTGTCACCAAAGACTGATAATAGATATGCAGGAGAAAGGTGACTGAGTTTCAGAGTGACAGTAATATAGGTTTGTTCAGTATAGATGTTCTGCTTGTGCAGTGCTCTATGGATCAGTAGTTTTATTAGTGTATGTGACTGATGTAGGTCAATGTCATGTAAATGCTGAGCTATAATGAATAATTGATCTCAGCAGCGGCTGGTTGAAGAAGTGTGTTCACTGTCCAGACTGAGTCTCTGGCTGCTGCTTTGGCCGTTTTAAAACAAAAACAAACAAAAAGTCATTCCATGTGTTTAACCACTTTGTTTTCTTGCATTGTATTTTGTTGAAAGTCTGTTAAAATGGCACATTCAGATATCTAAAGATTGGTTTGGGCTAATGCTCTATTAAACCTATAAATCGGTGATAGTCATAGATCACTTTAATATCTCCCTGAATCATCTGTTTCCTCAGAACTATTTGCTGGGGCGTAAGGAGACGTGTGAGATGGCAGACAGAAATAAAGAGGCTCTGTTGGAGGTGAGACAGACTGTGAACCTACTTACACACATTTTCTCTTGGGTTTTAAAGCCAGCATTACTTATTTAGGTCATGTCAAGCATGTACTCACTGGAGTGACTGATAAAGGTTTGTTTTTGAGCAGGAGTGTTTCTGTGGAAGCTCTATCAGTGTGCCTGAGATGGAAGGGGTGCTCTGGCTCAAAGACGACGGCAAGAAATCCTGGAAGAAGCGCTACTTCCTGTTACGAGCCTCT